TAACGATGGGATCACGGAGCCAGCCGGCATACGAAGATTTTTCCAGCAAATTTCGGCTGACTACGTTTGATTATCACAAACAGTATTCGCACTTTTATTCTCACCGCCTGATGGAGATGAGATCGCTACTCGTGTCTCGAGTGGAGGAACAATGGGGAAGTCATCACTGCATAAAGAAACTTTGCGAATTACGCGACGAACAAACTGAAGCGTGCATAATTATTGGAACAATTTACAAACACCAGGCCTACAAGCCAAGTATATTACGTGAAATTTCGGAAGAAAATCAGTTAGCACCTCAACCTGCACGCGAACTTTACGCCGACCTTGAAGATAAAGTTATTCTGGAGGATGAACTTCAACGTGTGCGTTTGTATGGCAAGGTAGATTGTCGTTACATAGCTTCAGGTGTTGTGTGTGCAGTCTTGGGATGCATCGAGGAGGACGGTCGTTTTGATGTTGAAGACGTGTTGTTTTGTGAGGCCGGACCCCAGAAGCCTTTGCCAATGTCTGGATATAGCAGAAAATTGGTACTCATCTCAGGAATCGATTACTCACAATCGCATTGTTTTGTCGATGCTCTAAATTTATTCCAACACTGGTTGTGTGGTAACGCATTCGGAAAGGCAAACACTGAAATAGTTCGCCTTATAGTGGCTGGAAACTCAGTGCGTTCGATTGCAGAAGATCGTCAAAATGCATCTTTACAACCTCGTAACACAGAAAATAGTGTAGCGGTAGAGGCAGTGCGCTGTTTAGACCGTTGGTTGGCTCATTGGTCAAAAGGTGTTTCTACTGATATTATGCCAGGAGCGCATGATCCAGCCAATTATATGCTCCCTCAGCAGCCATTTCATCAATTTATGTTTCCTGAAGCATCTCGAAATGCTTCATTTCGCAGCGTTTCAAATCCCTACGCTTGCGCTTTAGACAATACTCAAATAGTTGGTTGCTCGGGACAGAATGTGCACGACCTATTAAGGTGCACAATGATAGAGAAGCCTTTGGAAGCGTTACGCAGTACACTAGTTTGGGGACATATAGCTCCAACGGCACCTGATACTCTTGCTTGCTACCCATATGTTAGTAGTGATCCTCTTATTTTACATGAGTGCCCTCATGTATATTTCGCTGGAAATTGTAACACATTTCAAACGGAAATTCATAAAGGTCCCAAGGGTCAAATAACCCGATTGATATGCATCCCAAGCTTTTCGCGAACTCAAAGCATTGCTGTAGTAGATTTAGAAACGCTCGATTGTAAGGAAATCAAATTTAAAGTAGAATGAATAAAACACTCGTGAATTATAATAACCTCATACTGTGTTCTTTATTTCTTAGACCTAATGTACAACTGGACCAAGCGGTTCCCCCCGTATATTGGCCAGGTCAAGACGTGAATCAATTTGATCATCGATTAGTCCAATCACTGCAATATTATCTCCACGTATAATATGCAGCCCCAAAACTATCTGTTCGATACCTGAAGTTGTCGAAAACACACGCTCGTGAGACTCGTCGAGAATCACATTTATTGTTTGATCGAATCCTTTTAGCGTTCCGATAAAATTGCGTCCATCCGCAGTTATTATAGACACTGTATGATTAATATAGGCTTCCAAGCCCGATGCCATTTTAAATTGCAAGGAATCCTTAAGGTAGTCAATGGGTTCCCAGCAGACGTTTTGTAAACAAGAATGAGATGTAAATACGTATGTATGTATATGCAATTCTTCTTCTTGTAACAGGGTTATCGCGCGGATTTTTATACCAAAGTTTCGCCTGCGGCGCTTTTTTTCTTTTTTAACACTTTCGGTTCATATTTTTAGATTCGAGCTTTAAAAATCCGATTTTTTTTATTAAATGATCGTTAATACTTAATATAATAACATTCAATTTAATTTTTTTTTCAAAATGTGATTCTAAGGTCGGTGTTATGCAGAAATTTTGTTTGGCAAACTGCGTGCAATTGTTGTTGCAGCAAACTCGGAGAGAGCGAGTTTGGCGACTCTCACAGCAAACTAATTTTGTTTGGTCAAACTGCAGCAAATTCGGTGTTGTCATATACAAAAATTTTAAATTTTGCGCGTTATGTACATCTGAAATTCTCATTTCGTGTTGGCAATAGCCATGAAAACCATAATGAACGTGCAACCCTGTGCCAAACTCGACATAACCACCTCCGAGCAAACTAAGCAGCCGCCATTTAATTTGGCAAACAAAAGTTTGTCTGCATAACACCGACCTAAAGTGTTTTTTAGAGTGATGCCATATGGCATCATTTGTACTAACTGGTGTAAAAAATACGCAAGATTTTCTAATATGGTATTTTATTTTATTCAAATTAAATTAAATAACACTACGAAAATTCAATAAAATAAGTTGGAACTGGCATCGATTTAATAATTCATTTAAAACATTTACCATTTGCGATTTATCAGTACAAATATATCGTTAATTGCTGGTGGGGATTTCAGCTCCTTCAAATATAATTGATGTTATAGTGCATCATACAAATTTAAAAATTAGCACTTTTTTTAATCAAATTACAAGTTCTAGCAATATTTGACACTATTTTGGAGACTATAGCATATTTATTTGTTTTTAATTTATTGGGTAATTTGGTAAAATATAGTATTTTAATGTAGACCTTTCTAAGCAGAAGAAAATCGACATTTTAGTAAAGTTTTAAATTTGAAATTTTTCATCTACTAAGGATAAAAATAACAATACCGTATTATAATATAGTTTATAAAACTTCCCATTACAGCGTTGCATATCCCTGCAAAAATCGTTGGACCATCTAGTCTCTTTGTGGTATAATGGAGTACTTACAAAAGTGTTCCTCTGTCATGCTGTAGCGGACCAACTCGTGTGTCTGCGCCAGCTTATTGTTTGTTACCCGATCAGTGCTCGTGTTTTAACGAAATGGGATTGAAGTTGACCATTTGAAAGAACATTTGCATGTCTGGCTGTAGCTGGACGGTAGAGATACTCGCTGTTAGTTGTTAGCTCCCAGCATATTCGGGTTCGAATACCGTCAGAGGCAACATGTAGTTTTTAAATTTTTGTTTTTGGTATTTATCAATTTCGAAAACTCCTTGGTCCTTAGGGAGTACTCTTTACACGCATGCATGGAGTAGTCGCGATTTTTGCAGGGATAAAAATATAATTTCAGATAAGCTCAACTAAATCTGTGAGCATTCAAAGAAGCATGACGCCATATGGCATCAAAATAGCGAAAGCATATTTTAATAGCATACTTTAATGAAAATTTTGAATAACAAATCGAGCGATTTTTTATTCCAAATTTTCGCCTGCGGGGTTTTTTTTTCTTTTTTAAATAAAAGTATACTTTAATGAAAATTTGGAATAAAAAATCGCGCGATTTTTTATTCCAAATTTTCGCCTGCGGCGCTTTTTCCTTTTTTAAATAAAAGCATTCTTTCCTTTTCCCTTTTTCATATAAAACGATATTTTAATATTTATTTGGTCAAATATGATGCGCAGAATAGTTTTTGGTTACAAATCATATATCAATTTAAAGGTATTTTTGTGCTCTTTCTGACAAACATATTTGTTAATGTAGTTAATTACGTATTTTTTACGAAAAACATACATTTTTATAAACAACTTTATTATAATTTCGTTTTTCTTTATACGTTTTCTCCAAATGTGTATATATAATATGTATAGACATAGATATCGAATGAAAGGTCTTTCAATTACCTTGTAAACTGTGTCTAAATTTTTGAAATCGGTTCAACAGTTGAAATGTTGAAAATTCTACGTTTAGCCCCCCTAGCGCCGCCCCTGTCACTTTGCACCAAAAAAAATATGCCGTTAAAATCATAAAAAGGGGGCGGGCCACGCCCACTTTTTCTCTTTTCTCGAGCTCAAAGGTCCAGATTTTTTACGTGTTCCTAAAATATGACATCGCATTTTAGGTTGCCAACTTGTCTACACACAGAGCAAGGTGTATTAAACAAGGTGGTGTTGGGGCGCCAGCTGAGTTTTTCGCCGTGGAGGCCATTACGTCAAAATGATGTGTTTGTTGTAACTCATACCAATGACAGTATGGACATCAGCGTATAATTTGTTAGTGTAATTTTTTACTTATATACGGCCAACACCACCTTGTTAAATACGCCTTGACACAGAGCAACAAATTGACCAATCTGCCCCAAAAATCAAAAATTTTTGATTTTACTCCAATGTTAATTAAAATTTTTTTTGAAGGATCTTAAGCCCCGAGAGCGAACGCAGAGCCGATGTTCGCATTATGAGAGTAAAATATGTACTGACGAAATGTATGGATCGCGTTTGGAAAGTGCTACACGTTCAATATTTATTGACGGTATTGCGATCCGCGATCCAGATTTCAAAATTTTTAGAAATTTTGCGATATGGATCACGATCCATCAATACTGCACAAAGTAGGTACAATTGTACCTTTTTCCGACGTTTGATGACTTAAAGGTACATTAGGTACACTCAGTAGATTTTAGGTACAATTATTATTATTGACCCATATTCGCTTTTTGATTTCGGGAAATATATTTAAAATGCTTTCGAAGTTACTTACGGCAATTTGATTATTTTCTCTAGACTTATCGCACCTATTAAAAATCGGATAAATTAGCAGACTTTTCGTGTTGTTGCTGGATAAAGAAGTATACTTCGCAAAGCGTGTCTTTTTCACCAATAATTTTCAGTAGTCAGTAGTTAGACAAAAACAACGCTTCTCCGATTCCCATTAGACTATAGTCTATAGATATAGGCTCAGTTGAAAAAAAAAACATAACCATGTTTAAAGTACATCCATCTTTTGTATTCATGTTTTAAATAAAATTTATAGAAAAAACTACAAATAAATTATGTAACTCTTATACAATCTGTTTCATTTAGGTACATATATTTTATGATATTAGGTACAATCTGAAATTTCCATATTTCATCCCTGATTCAGATACCACAAATGTATGTTTTCTTCGAAAATACTTAAGTACTACCAGTAGAGTACTCTACTTGCAAATACCTTTTACTCGCAGTAGTTGCGGAAGGCAAAGTAAATACTCTACGCGTCTTGCTATTCATCGGTAGTTTACTTACGCTTGCAGAAACTGGTTTATGCTTACTCACACTTGACCCGAACGATGAGAGTAAAGGAGGGAAAGTATTTGCGCGGCGATCGGATGTCTTGTTAGGCCGTTTAAATGGAATTGTGCAGAAGTTTAATACATACGTATGTGCATATTTCTGCCAAATACTACCCCAGCCAGCAAAAAATCCGAAAACCGATCCGGAAAAGGACAAAAAAGTGGATAAAGTGCGGATTTTTGTCCGTTTACTGATTCCATTTCCGGATACTTTGACGATCCGTTTTCCCACTAAAGTGTGCGGCAGAAACGTATGTACAGACAACAGTATGTGAAACGGATACGTTTTCGGCTGTTTTTTTCTGAAATTTGTCTGATTGAATTCTTGTTGTTGTTGTTGTTGTTGTTGTAGCGGCTACAACAACCCCGCCCAGATCGGTTGGTATCTCAGTCGTTGTCGTCAAGTTCCACTAACGGCAACCCTAGGAAGCGTGCAGCTTCTGTGGGATTTGTCCACAGGGACAAGGCCGTTAGGGTTGTCGGGTTTTCCGGGCATGTGAAGAGATGTTTCGAGTCATGTGGGGTCTCTCCGCATGCCGGACACTCATTCGGCACATCCTCATTCAACCTACTCAAGTAGGAGTTAAACCTGCTGCAAGAGCCGGAGCGAAGTTGTGCGAGTGTAGTGCGTGTCTCCCGAGGCAGATGAAGCTCTGTCTCGTCTATGTCCGGGGGTGGTATGCCTAGAATGGCATTCACAGGTCTAGAGTCTACATAACTCGAGACTGAGTCCCTGTGAATGCAGTTCAGGGCCTGTCTGTACGCTGTCGGGTCCAGAGGAAGCTTAATGAACCTCTGGACTTCGTCCGTCAGTTCATATAGATGCCTCCTGACGTGCCTAGGCGAGGGCTCCTCTGCAAGCAGCTGTCTGCTTGGGTGGCCACTTCTGTGGCTCCCGATCAGGAACTGCTTGCAGAGCATTATATTATGCTCCTTAACTGGGAGCATTTGCGCCTCGCCGTGCAAGTGGTGTTCAGGCGACATCAAGAGGCATCCCGTCGCTGTCCTAAGTGCCGTATTTTGTACCGTCTGTAGCTTCGTCCACTGCGTCCTACTAGTCCCTGGCGACCACACTGGCGCTGCGTAGTTCAAAACCGGCCGGCCTATTGCCTTGTATGTTGCCAGCAACGTTTCTTTGTCTTTGCCCCAAGTACTGCCGGCTAGCGACTTGAGGACCTTGTTGCGGCTCTGTACTTTATTGACAATAGCGGTTGAGCGCGCAGAGAAGGAGAGCAGGCTGTCGAATGTTACTCCGAGTATTTTGGGGTTATTCACCGTCGGAATTGGTGTGTCATCGACGTGAATCCCCAGCGGTAGCCTGACCTCCTTCGTCCAGGTTGTGAACAGGGTCGCGGAGGATTTCGTAGGGGAGAGGGCTAGACACTTTGCAGTGAAGAAGCGAGAAAGTTCGGAGAGATAGCCGTTTACTTTCAAACACAGGTCATCAATTCCATTCCCAGTCGCCATGATCGAGCAATCGTCGGCATAGGAGACAATCGAGACTCCCTCTGGTGGTTGAGGGAGCTTTGAAATATAAAAGTTAAACAGTAGCGGGGAAAGGACACCACCCTGAGGAACCCCCTGTTTTATTTTTCGCTGCTTACTCGTTTTGTCTCTGAACATTACCGACGAATGTCGACCACTTAGATAATTTGCCGACCACCGTTTGAGCCTCTGTGGGAGAGAGGAGGCCTCTATATCTTCTAGTAGCGTGGAATGGCAGACGGTGTCAAACGCCTTTGACAAGTCCAACGCTACTAGAATCGTTCTCTCACAGGGACGGTTACGGTTAAGGCCACGAGTTATCTGAGTGTTTATGGCGTTAAGTGCTGTTGTTGTGCTGTGCACTTTACGGAAACCATGCTGATGCTTCGCTGGGGTCAGGTGATTTGTAAAGTACGGGAGTAGCAAGGCCTCGAGTGTCTTCGCTACCGGGGAAAGGAGTGTAATCGGACGATACGAATCTCCTTTGTTTGCAGGTTTCCCCGGTTTGAGCAGTGGGACCACTCTCCCCACCTTCCAGATGTCTGGGATGATGAGAGTGGCCATTGACAAATTGAGGACCTCCGTTAGGTACGCTACCCCCGCAGGACCCAAATTTTTCAGCATCAGCATGCATATACCGTCGGGACCCATGGCTTTGGAGGCTTTCGCCTTCCCGATGGCCACCTGAACTTCACCGCAAGTGAAAGCAAGGGGGGCACAATTTGTTGGCAATTTGTGCAGCCTTCTGGTCACTCGACGCTTGGCTTTGTCCACCGGAGGATGCAGTATGAACTGCCGGCTAAAATAGCTCGCGCATCGCTCCGGGTCCGACGAAGCATGGTCGCCGAAGGAAATTTCGACTCTGTCGTCGTGCTTCGTCGGATTAGACAATGACCTCACGGTTGACCAAAGCTTGCTCACACCAGAGGTGAAGTTGCAAGTCTTCAGATGCTCCTCCCACTTCTTCCGCTTATGTACGTTTACAAGTTGCCGAATCTCCGCGTTGAGATCCCTGATACGGGGATCTCCGGGATCGGCCTGACGAAGGCTATCACGCTCATTTGCTAAAACAGCCGCTTCGGCAGGGAAGTTTGGACGTGGGTCCGATATGCACCCTGCCGGTATGAAGCGGGCTGCAGCAGCAGTGATAGCCCTGCGGAACTTACGTTCACCGAGGTGGACGTCGGTTGGTGTGGGGAGCGATGTGAAGGTGTTTTCAGTAAACTCCGCGTAACCTTTCCAGTCAGCTTTAGAAAAGTTGACATAGGTCCGGTGTTTGGCGGAGGCAAAGTCGGTTGGTTTGTCAATCGAGATGACTATGGGTAGGTGGTCTGATGCAAGAGTCAGCATAGGTCGCCACGTTATGCTGTTTAT